TTACCAAGGAATTATATAAGTGTAACATCACCTCCCTTGACTTAAACTCCACACATCTAGAGATATAACCCAACAGGGTTATATCTTCTTAATGCGCTGTTCTACATCTCACCTATAGGGGGTGCCTATGCTACTTATTGCTGAATGATCTCTCTTTCTGAGCTAGGGCCTGAAATGTGCGTGGTTAAAGATACCACAGAAGGTAGTTAATGTTCAGTAATTTTTGTAGTTTTTTTTTTACTGAAAATTTTGGTAAATTTTAGAAAACAAATTTCTTTGGGACTGGCATCTTGTTCAGTCTTGTGTCCTGTGCTGCCTTAGAAGCCCCACCCTCCTTGAAACCAGGATAAGAAGTTGGATGGATGAATGAATGAATAGGTGAACTCTTCTGGACCAATGAGTGCTTTATTCCATTATTTGATAACAAAATATAGACTTTAGATATCTATGTGATCTCTCAATATATGTTCTTGATTGTCCATTAATATTTTTCTCCAGAAGCAAGAGAGTGAGTCAAAGGGTTGGGACACAGAAAGGCCATGGCAGACCAAAATGGCGCACTCCACATTTAAAATGAATAGTAAGCAAAGTGGTCTGCATGTTTTCTGCACGGACTTAGTTGTTTGATATGCCTGAGGTACTATTCCATTAATGGAACGTCAAAACAAGGAGTTCCTCCACACTCCAAATGTCTCAGAAGGGGAAGTTCAAAGAGAGTACGGTGAGCTTCTGGCTGAGCTTCAAAGAGACTCAGAGGGACTCACTGGATTGAACAACAGCCTGTAGGAGGTGCAGAGGAACCTGTTCTGCCACCGGAACAATCTATAAGCTCTCAGCCCAGGTGCATGACCGATTAACCCAGGTACCCGGTTCCATAACAAGGCCCTCAGAAAAGTTTCATTTTCCAGAAGTAGGCCTTAGCGTGCCAAAAACAGGAGCTCTGCCCTGCTCCCCTCTGGCTCTGCCTTCCGTTCCTGGCCTCTGCATACTTCCTTCCTCCTGTGTTTGTGTCCCACCCATGTAGGTCTGTGGTCAGGCATCAGCTGCAAGAGACAGACTCACATGGTTACCTGTGCGGCTGGAGAAGAGCCTGTAAACGCGACTGCGGCACTTTCAGGCACAAATAATGTAATTCTACACTCTCTTTTATTTGTACTAATTAACCAGTAACTAAGTGTTAGTTATGAACTGATCCCATGTTCATCATTAATCAATCATAAAGGTTCATTAATTTCATACCATTACAATTCATATTTCAGCAGTAACTGAGTTACTAAGTTATCTGTGTTCTCTCAAGTATACTGTTACCCAGCTGTCTGTATGTCGGATAAAGTAAAAAAAGCCATGACTGTTGCATCTTGTGCCTCCCTGGAAGCAAATGAGAAAATCCTCACGACTGTCATCTTGGAATCTTGTAGATGAATCTGTCGCTGCCCGTGTGCTTGGAGTGGCAAAGGGGCACGACGGCAGCGGACCGACGCGTCAGCAGGGGCGAGATTCACGGCTGAACACAAATGCCCAGCACAAAAAACCCATCATTCTCTTGCGTTGACTTTACTTTTGTGGAGTCATTTATATCCAGTTAGTCGCTTTACTCTTGGTGAAGGAGAAGCATCACAAAGGGCCCCACAGAGCCGGCTGCTTGTTTCCCATGTCAGGCAGGTCCAGTGCCGGTCCAAGCCCCCCCCCCCCCATCAGGGCGTGTGTGGCTTGGGGCTGCTCACCATGCTGAGCGTGAAGGTGCAAAGTGACTTTGTCTGTCTGGAGGTCCAGGGCAGGTAGGACCTTTCCTCCTCCTTCTGTGAGCCTTTCACTTCTGGAGCAGCTTTAAATAGCCTTGGGGGAAGTGATGGGGGGGTGGGTCCCGAAGCAGGAACAATGAACTGCATTACAGCAGGGCCTCTGCTCTTTGTTATTATTGTATTTAAGAAACTTAGAGGAAATAAGCTGCACTGACAGTCATTTGTGCTGGATGTTCTTGTGTCTGGAAAATGCTTAGTAACTGGAGGACGCTACACCCCTGGTTCGAATCACTGTATGCAGATTTAACTTAGAATTATCTTAATGTTTGCTCGCGTTGCAGGAATACGGAAGGCAGCGGTTGGTGTGAATCAGGGTAGCTAGTCTGTACATGTTCAATCTGCAGCGCAAGTTAGTCCATGTATGGGTGCGCTTACAACGACTGCGGAAACAGGAATCTGCACCTGAAAAGCGCTACCCCGCTAACTTTAGCGCTTTTATATAAATTATAGAGTGTAAGAATTATCTGGATTCGTACGACTGTCTGTAGCTTTTGCGACTGCATGACATTTTAAGGGGGAGCCCTAAGCGCAGCGGCTTGAACTTGTTCCTCTCTCATCACGCCCTGATCGGCCAGCCTTCCGCCTGCGCTCCTCCCGGCCAGTGCAGAGCTGCAGCGGCGTCTCCTACTGTACAGCGCTACCCAAGTCCATCAGCTCCAAAGAGTTACCGTAAGTAAATATCATCTGTGGACGCTTTCTGTGTCTCTTCAAATGCAATTTCACGTAAAAAGGAGTTAAAGATCGATGGTATACAGAAATTCAGGAAGTGGTTTACTTTTAAGATCTAAATTCCAGTTCTACAGATGAAATATATTAAAAGTTTATTATGCTTGTCTACTTAAATCACTAACTGAGGACTTTTGTAAATAAGTCGATTTGATTTACCCCGTAAATCGTAGATTTTAACGTCTAAAATCGTAAACCGTTACTCCTGAGTCTGATACGGTTAGTTTTTTGTAATGTTTAGTTAACTATTACTAAATACCATTAAAGTAAGTTAAAGTAGTATTAAATTCAAGTTTAAGTGTAATATATAAAGGCCTACGCGAAGAGCTGCGATGATGAATATATTTCCATCTACTTAAGAGTTACTCTGTATCGTGTGTTGGTAAGATCCCCAGAGCTGTCAGCTTCAGGAAGGTAAAAAGTAACGCCGTTGTAGGTGGCCTTGTTTACGAAGGGTTGTAAGTTAAAGGTAGACTGTAAAATGTCTTTTGAGGCTCTTAGAAATTAATCTAATGTTGTAAGTTTTCGTTTACTCATGAATTTTAGTGTAAGTCATCTGACGGGTTATCATATATGCGTGTATCATTATGCCGTTAAGTGATCTTCAATTAGAGAACATTTCATAAAATAAAAGTATGCTTTATTCATGTTATGTTCTCATCTTTTTGAGGCGTGCAGGGTGCACTGGTGGTGTCTTGCTGGACCGCGGCGCCGCAGCTTAATTACCTCAGAATTAGACACCACCTAAGACGACAGCTTTGCGTTTTCGGCATGGATGTATTTTAATGACAAATGCGTCTTTCGTCTGCAGCGCGAGCTGCAGGCGTCTTGAACAAGCTCCTCTCAACTTCCTTTGTGGCATCAGTAAAATTAGACCGTCAGTTGCTCTACTCTGACATATAAGGCGAAAGAGGAAGTGTGTGTGAGTGTGTGCATTTCATATTTTATATGACTTTTGGGCATGTTTGCTTTTACTAGATGTGGAAGTCGGTAGTGGGACATGGTGTCGATATGAAGGTGACCACGGAGGGGGACGACTGGGAGACAGACCCCAACTTTGAGGTTAGTTGGGTCTCGGTTGACGGGTGCTTTACTGCTCTGAGAGCAGCGGTTGGAGCCCAGTGCTGCGTCTCTGCGCGTCTGACGGCTGACTTCCTCATCGCAGAATGACGTGTCGGAGCAGGAGCAGAGATGGGGCGCCAAAACCATCGAGGGGTCGGGCCGAAAAGAGCACATCAGGTACTGCTGGGGGACAGATAGCAGGGGTCAAAGGTCACCTTGCCAAGTTCATGCACAATGTCTGATATATTATTTTCTGTTTGGCAAATGCTTTTATCCAAAGCAACATACGCATTTGAGAAAGCAGGGTCAGACAGTCCTGGGGACAATTGGGAGATTAAGGGCTTTTCTCAGGGGCCCAATGGTGACGTCACTATGCTAACTTGAGATTTGAACCAGTAACCTTTCAAACACAGATATACTGTAGGATCCTAACACACTGATCCACACATTGCCCAAGGTCCCAGTTAATCACCATGGTGTCTCTGGGAAGGGTGACTATGCCAGTATAGCGCTCCCATTTTGCTTTTGGAAAACTCCAGAACTAAAGCTCAAGAACAATAATTTTTATTAATCTTTGCTGGTGAATTTAATTAAAATAAAAATATGTACCATACGAGGCAGATAGGGAATATGGATAACGACAAGAGGGACGCCGTCCTCTGTGGAGCTTCCTGGGGCTTTCGTTAAGGACAGAGATGTACGGCCAGTGAGGCGGCGGCTTCGCCTGTGTGAGAGTGAGGCGGCGGCTTCGCCTGTGTGAGAGTGAGGCGGCGGCTTCGCCTGTGTGAGAGTGAGGCGGCTCTCTGCTCATCCCCTGCAGTGTTGCTGAGCTCCGGCAGAAGGTGGCCTCTGAACATGAGCAGGTGAAGAAGAAGGAGCTGGACGAGGGACCCAAGGCCTCCTTCGGGTACGGAGGGAAGTTCGGGGTGGAGAAGGACCGCATGGACAAGGTAGGATACGGGGGAGCCAGCAGTCCCGATCCGCAGGCTCACCCTGGTGCTGACACACGTGACCGGCTCCTTACGCACGTTCGGTTCTCCAGGTGGCCATGGGCCACACTTACGTGGCGGAGGTGGAGAAGCACTCGTCCCAGACAGACGCGGCACGTGGGTTCGGGGGGAAGTTCGGCGTGCAGAAGGATCGCATCGACAGAGTAAGAAATCAACATTACTCCACTTTCCCTGTCATCTCAGCTGATTTCAGAACTTGCAGTATAAATAACCATTTACAGAGGTTAATTCATGCCTAATATCATTTTCTGCACAATAATAATTATTCCAAACATTTGCTAGTATTTCTTATTCAAACTTGATGTTTGATTACAGTGTGGCGCCCCTCTGTGCACTGCGGTGTGTCATGCACACACAGGGATAAAGCAGGGTAACGTTTGCATGTGGTAAAAGCTATAGTGTGTCTCTTTATAGTCAGCGGTTGGTTTCGAGTACAAGGGAGCAGTGGAGCAGCATGCCTCCCAGAAAGGTAGGGTCTGCACAGGCTTTTGTGTGTTTTGTTTCTTTAACCTGGAAGCTTGTTTTTATTTTTTGTACTCATGCTACATTTTATGTCTTTCTTGTACTTCCTCCTTCAGACTACGCTAAAGGTTTCGGGGGCAAGTATGGCGTGGAAAAGGAGAAGATGGACAAAGCTGCCCTGGGTTATGATTACAAGGGGGAGTCAGAGAAACACCAGTCTCAGAAAGGTTAGAGTGACCCCTACTGGCTGGAGAAGGGAAATAGCAATGCTCATTTCACATTAATGTATTTATCTGACGCTTTAACGCAAGGGGTGTTCATTTCAGAAAGCAGGTTCACTTAGTCCCTGGAGTAATTGGGGTTTAGGGACATAACAAAGAAACTACACTGCTTGCCCTGGGATTTGAACCAACAACCTTCTGATCAAACGTTTAGCATCCCAGCACAACGCCCCCATTTTATCACTGACATATTCTGTGTGTTTATGTGTGTGTAACGATTTTAAAATGTACCCTCTTTTCCCCGTGTTGTCTCTCTCTACTGCCCCAGACTACGCAAAGGGCTTCGGTGGGAAGTACGGAGTCGAGAAAGAGAAGGTGGACAAGGCTGCCGTGGGTTATGACTATAGGGGAGAGACGGAGAAACACCAGTCTCAGAAAGGTGACGCCGACTGACAGGGGTGGCCACACCCCTCGCGCGTAAAACCGGCCAATCACTCGAAGCTTCGCGTCCTTCAGCATCATGCCATAGCAAGATGTGGTGCTCGGGACCGTCGAGAGCTAACGGCCTATTACGTAATGAATAATTATGTTAAACTAGTCACACAACCAATAATACCGGGCAGTGAAATTCAGTTATGGTTATTTAGATATAGCGCCTTTCACAGCAGAGTCGCGTCAATGTGCTTGGCGAGATGGTCCACTATTACACCATTTGTACAGAGTGGCAGATAAAACAGGGAGCTCAGAAATGTGGTATCTAGTCTGGAGGCGATGCTCCTGAGGTCAGGCAGGCTGTTTTACTGCCATTTCATTATTCCTGTTTACTCGCAGACTACGCCAAGGGCTTCGGCGGCCGCTACGGGGTGGAGACGGATCGCATGGACAAGGTGAGTCTCCAAACCAACCGCCGGCCTCCGTTTACGGCCTCCCACCGTGACGATGCTCCTCAGCCGCCGCCCGCTGCTCTGACTCCTCACAATGTCGCCCCCAGAACGCGGCAGCCTTTACCGCAATGGAGGCCCCAACATCGTCGTACAAGAAGACCCAGCCGTCGGAGGCCTGTGAGTGTCTGGCAGCGTGAGGGGATCACACGCTGTGGCTGATAAGCACACAGGGGCCACTCTAGGATGTTTATTTTTAAGGTGGGGGGCATAAGAGGGGCCATAATTAATACAGAGGGGCCAAACTTATCATTAGCCAGTGATTTATTTTGAATCAGTGCGTGAAAGGGGAGGGGCACTGTACGGGCCAATCAGCTATCAGCGCCCCTGTGGCCCCACCCTTCCATATACACCCCAGTAGGTGAGCATTGTTGTATCCCATAACCACAATGTAATAAAAACCTGTTATTTTGATGTTGTTTATGGGGACCTGATGTTGTTGGTTACTTATGGTTAAGCTTAGAGCTGGGTTGGGGTTAAGGTTGTCATGTTGGGATTAGAGTTTTGCCCGTAGAAATGAATGGAGAGTCCCCACAAAGATGTAATTACAAACCCGTGTGTGTTTATGTGTGCACATATGTGAGCAGCAAGTCTTGGGGCAGGAAATCTGAAGGCACGCTTCGAAAATATGGCGCGAGCATCAGATGACGAAAACAAGAAACGGGCGGAGGAGGAGAGAGCCAGGAGAGAGGCGCGGGAGGCGCGGGAGCGGGAGGAGGCTCAGAGGAGGCAGCAGGTGGGCCACACTCCTCCCAGTGGACAGGTTCACACTATGGCTGGCTTCTTCTGCACATACATCTGCAAAGAGCTGGCATTCAGCAGAGATACACTGGCATGGCGTCTTCTGTACATACATCTGCAAAGAGCTGGCATTCAGCAGAGATACACTGGCATGGACAGGAGTACTGTAGAGATCCTAGGAGGTGCCGGAGTGGTCGTTGCAGGGTGAAAGAGCACGACCGTATGCACACCAACCTTCCCATCTGTTCCTCAGGAGCAGGAAAATGCAAAGCAGGAGGTGCAGCAGCCCCCCGTGGCTCCGGAGCCCAGAGAGACCCCCCCACTGCCCAGGAGATTGCCTGAACCTCCCAGAGAGGAGCCAGACCCAGTGGCGAAGGTGCAGAGGGGTTCTCATGGCTTTTCATGCGTCTGGCTGTGTACGGAATAGCAAAGCACAGAACTGAGAAGCCTTAGTCTCTGAAATGCATCCGAAAGCGGATGCAGGTCAAACTCATCATGCAGCCAGGATCTCGAAGCAGAACGTGTCAGACTGTTTGTTCATCTCCTCTGATAAGTTGACGGAAGTTCCGTAAAGGTACCAGTACTGGGGACAATGTCCTGGTTACTATGCTGACTTTGTGCTGCCCCCAGGAGGAAATGCCCGAGAAGGAGGAGGAGGTAGACTATGACGCACCCCCTGCCCTGCCTCCTCGCCCTGCTGACCTGCTGGAGGATGACTATGCAGTGCTTCAGGAGGAGCCGGAAGAAACCCCCCAGCCAAAAGAGGAAGGAACCTATGAGGACATTTCTGTTCCTGTACAAGGTTTCTGAGATTTTTGGTTTTATTTTGCAGTGTCTGGCACAGATCCAGACCCTTTCATTTCCCATAGGGCCAAGGTCTCATAGCCAGATGTAATGGGGTGACAGCTTGCCTTTCCATTGGACTGTCACATTAGAGGAAGGCGCATTTGGAGAGCTGAACAGGGTACGTCCTGCCAGCCAATCAGGAAGAGGCAGGGATTGCCATTAGTATCAGAAGTAGCACCTGCAGAGTGTGTGCATTTTAACACGTTGAAGGTTAAGGTGGACCTTCTTCTCAGAGCCCTTTAATACTGACATCAGCGGGTGAGACTTTTCACTAAAACAGAGTGGTAGTTCTGGGTACCATCAGACAATAAATAACTCAAATTCCATGTGGAACCTCCAGGCTTTAAAAAAGACGTATTAAATCTGCTTATTAAATCCACAGATAACGACTACGAAGACCTGACTTGTGGCCAGTCAGCTGTGGCTCTCTATGACTATCAAGGGGGTAAGTGTCCTTGGGAACCCTCTAGTGGAGAGCTGTGGAAGTTGCCTTTTCTCAGGGCTTCACTATCGGATGGATAAAAATCACACAGAAGTAAGAATTTTGGACTGCTGGTTAGGGAGGCAACAGCAGGCATGCTGCATTGCTGCAGGTACCACTGCAGGTACCACTGCAGGTACCACTTGGTGATGTGGGTGTGGTCGAGTGAGCAGGACGCAGTCATGCATTTGTTTGTTTTTCCTGGAAAGGGTTTTGCACTCTAGAATGACTGAAATAGGCCGGTGCTAAATCATGCTCACACTACTATGCATTTTTTGTGTTCAGATTCAAATTTGGATACTTCAGTTCAATTCTATTTGTATAGCACATTTTCACAACAAAAAGTGCTTTACATTGTCCCTGATCAGGCCAGTGGCAGCAGTGACAAGAAGAAGCTGAGGGAGGAGTTTTTGCTTCAAGCTTTTTGAAACAAAGAGCCATTTTTTCCTCTAAATATCTGAACCAAGATTTACAATGAGCTGCAATGGGTAGAGAAGGGGGTTTGAGATACGATTTTTTTAATGTGATATGGCCATATATGCATCCATCCATCCATTATCTATACTGCTTTATCCATCTGGGTCATGGGGAAGCTGGAGCCAATCCCAGCATCTTTGGGGGAGAGGCAGGGTACACCCTGGGCAGGCTGCCAGTCCACCACAGGGCCAACACAGACACACACTCACATTCACACCTATGGGAAATTTAGAGTAGCCAATTGACCTAATCTGCATGTCTTTGGACTGTGAGAGGAAACCAAAGCACCTGGAATAAACCCACGCATGCACAGGGAGAACATGCAAACACAGAAAGGCACCCTGGGCGACCCGGGGATCAAACCCTGGACCTTCTTGCTGTGACTCCGCAGTGCTAACCACTGCACCACTGTGCCGCCCGGCGTATATGCATTTAACACAAAAACAAAAGTTCAAGTACTTTATAAAAAATAAAGAAAACCAGTTTCGGCTGGCATCTAAATCACTCGGACGCATAACAGCGCAAAGGTGACTAATATTACAACATTGTTCAGTTCTGTAGCGATAGTCTTCACCCTCAGCCCTTAGGCTCTGCAGTCATCTAACTCAGCTGGCTATAATATGTAAATCGGAGAAAATATAATAATTTTTACGAAGACCCGGGAAGGAGTGGTGACGATTTACTACAAAAAGTATATGAAAGAATTAGGAATCCCAATAAATGTTGAAGCGTAAATCCAATTGCAGGTAATAAAGAAAACTCCGGAAAGCATACCGTCTGACCGGAGACGTACTCTCGTCGTAGAGAATGACTTTGAGGAAGATGTAAATGATGCCGTTAAAACATCAGAGAATCGCACGATGGACATATAGCTAAAGAAATATCTAAATGAAAAATAATATTAACCCATAAATAAATAATTTATCTTTTCAAAAGTATTATCATAATTATGTTAAGACATGAAAATGTGAATGCGGCTGTTGTTCTGAGAAGATCCTCAGCCACGTGGTCAAAGAGCCGCATGTAGGAAGCAGAGGAAGCCCTAACCCTAACCCGACCCAAAGGGGGAGCCCGTCCTGCAGGGGGCAGCAGAGGAAGCCCTAACCCTAACCCGACCCAAAGGGGGAGCCCGTCCTGCAGGGGGCAGCAGAGGAAGCCCTAACCCTAACCAGACCCAAAGGGGGAGCCCATCCTCCAGGGGGCAGCAGAGGAAGCCCTAACCCTAACCAGACTCAAAGCAACAAGCCAAATCTCTTTACTCATTAGGCATTAATGCATTACGTGATTAACAGTGTTTTACTGTTTATGGGGGAGAAAGGTCCATTTTTTTTTTTGTTTTGCAGAGGGAGAAGACGAGATCTCCTTTGACCCAGATGACATCATAACGAACATCGAGATGGTGGACGAGGCCTGGTGGAGAGGACACTGCCGCGGTCACTTTGGCCTTTTTCCTGCCTCCTTTGTGCAGCTGATGCAGTGAGCGCCCAGGCACCATTTTCACAGACGCCGTGGTGTCTTACTCAGCTTTCCATACCGCCCCGCAGCTGTATCTGCACTCTGCCCACAATCAGTAAAGTCTAACTCCACCCATTTGTTTGTTCCCGTCGTGAGTCCCGCCCTCATATGCCAAATGCCACACCGGGATTGGCTGAGCTATGACAGCACTTTGAAGATGACTGTAATACTCACTGCTTATTAGGTAACAGCCTTGTCCCTGTTTTTGTGATTCAGAAAGATTAGCTTTACTGTGGACTCACTGTGTAACCAACTATGCAACTAACTTTTCTGATAAAAGAAAGAGAATAAAATGTATACATTTATATTAAACTTATAATGTACCTCAGTAATATTATGCAATTTGGGGGAAAATGTGCAAACCAATATTAAATTCCTCTTGACAGATTTTTTTTTAATCAGCTCAAGTTTTCAGACAGTATTTATAACATCACCAATTCATACAATCATCATGACACATTAAGTCTGTGTACTGTAGGCCACACAACGGAAAGACTGATTGTGATGTTTATGTCGTTTTTTTTTCTGTTCGATGTTGTCTGTCTTTAACATGCTGCAATGTCTTTGCCCTCGGAGAGCATGAGGGTTGGCTTTCATTTTAAGCCATTTCTAAAAAAAAAAAACCTGGTCATCTCGCTTTCTTATCACAGAATACCTTCCTGCTGGATGACATTCCTACACAGCTTCTGCCGTGAGGAATGTGCGCTGTGTGACGTGGGCAGCGCGCGGCGCGTGGCGGAGGGGGGGGGGGCGGTTCCTTTATTACTGCGCCGTGTTATAACAAGATATAACGAGAGACAACACTGCCAATGTAACGTTTCATTTTGACGAATCATTTAATCCCGACAATTTACATTTATATGGCAAACTTAGCAATCAAAACCCTTCTCACATACCAGCGTATCAGTAATTCGTTATACACAATGGCCCAATTTAATCGATTATCATTTATCATTATTTATAATCAGGTTAGAATAATGGACATAATTTTAAACATCCAATCGGTTAAAATACATTGGATACAGGAAAAAAACTCAAGTTCTGGTGGCACCCAATGTATTACACATATAGCTTTGCATTCATCCTACGCACACATAGCTTAGCTTAGCATCAGCCATATGTGATCGCTTATCTTGATACTGGGAACGAGCAAGGGACGATGAATGAACTGAAATGATGGTTGACGTGATGTTTATACACACTTTATGGCTGCTTATGAACATGCCCGTTAATTCTCTCTGCTGGATCATGAATGGAGCTCTTTTTTTTGCCTTTGCAGTTAATGCACCTGGGTTTCTTTAACATCTTTAAAAACACACTCACTTTACATAAATAGGTTTTGCTTAAGGTTTTGTGCCCTTCAGATCTTGCCGCTCCTTTAATTTTCTTTTTACCGTATATTACTTTACATTTCATTTCATGCCTGTATTGTTTCTCGTTTCTCTTTAGTCTTGCAAAACAAAACAGAAATCTTCCTATTGAACGCCATTTCAACTTACTGCATGAAAGCTACTTATGCAAATACATTTTGTGTATGGGTTGCTGCGTTTATGAAATTAATGAAAATTATATAGTCTGCCAGTCAGTCAACAAAAATGTATATTTTCATCAGCTGAAATTCTTTAGAAATAGTTTGTTATTACTCTATAATTAATCGGAAAAGAAATATCATGATTATTACTGTAAAACTCCTATGCGATTTCCAGTAATGATCTTTACTGCTGGAGGATGACTATGCAGTGCTCCAGGAGGAGCCGGAAGAAACCCCCCAGTCCTTTATCGAAAGGACTTGATTTTCTTGGTGACAGGTCTTCCAGTAAATGTACACAGCAAGCTTGTCTGACAGCTTCCTCTACAGCTGGCAAATATTTGGCATTTCTTTAGCATGAAGTCCTGTCGTGTGTGTTGTCATTTTTAGTAACACACCTAACAACAGGTCTGTAGCAGTGTGTGGATCACTGGGGTTGTACGCTGTGCCTATGGGCAGTAGGTCACTGGTTCTAATCTCAGGGTCAGCAGAGTGAGGTCACCACTGGGCCCTGAGCGAGGCCTTTAGCCCCAGTTACTCTCGGGATTGGCCGACCCTGCAGTCACTAGGTGTCTCAAACGTCACAGAAGGATTGCATTACACTGTTAGGTGACGCTGCATGTTGTATTGTGAAAGGTATTCTTGTAAGCAGCTAGCTTGGCAGATGACCAATCAGATTAAGGGGTTGGAGTTTGTGAACATGCTTTCTGGAAGAAGCTGTTTTTTTCTCCTTCAGTTGGGCGTTAAGTTTTACCCTCCAAAGGCTTGATAAGTCCTCTGATGCCTAAGTGCAGTGAGGTAAGTTTATGGTCTGAACAGGAAAGCAGTGTGCAGGATCTGATGGAGCTAGCAGGACGGCTTATACCCCAAACATACCTGATAAAGGTAAGAGTTGCCTCTTGTTTTGCTTCACATAAGGTGTTTTAATGTTTACCAGCCTTGGGACATTTGTGACACAGATCAAAGTAAGACATTAAGGTCTGTTTTAAGAAATTTATTTTAAGTAGGGAACTGACAATCCATAGACATATATTTTTATGTTTTTTTTTTTTTAAATAATAATAAATGAACAACGGAAGAAAAGGTCTAAGTGCAGTGAGCACAGATTGTTCAAAGTGCAGCATGTAAATACTGTGAACAAGGCCAGCAAATGAATGACTTTGAGTGCCTGGTGGACAGGGCTCTGGGCTACTGCAGAGATAATAGCCGGGAAAGAGCCGGGAAAAGGTGCCGGCTCACATTCAAACCTCTCTGCCGGTTAGGGACGGGCCACGTGCCGTTCACTTACTGTTAATCATTACACCTTTATGGGGCTGACTGCTGTTTTGTTTTCAACGGTCTAACAGCGCTTCTGGTTTCTAAAGCCCAACAAGATTCACATTTCAACAGGGCATGACTGTAATTACGGCTGTCACTATAAACCATGATAAATTTATTCTGGAATAGCTAGCTAAAGAAAATACCACAAATCAGGTTCCGGCTATTTGACCTCTGATTCAGAGAGTGATAATTCTATTGTTCTATGTCCCTAAAGTTGCAGACAGCATGATGACAGAAGATGAGAGATTCCATTGAACTCCAGTTAGTTCCAGTCTAAAGCTTTTCCACCAGTGATGGATCCTTCTCAGGAAGACACCTACTGGGTTCAGGGGAGGGACAGTGACTCTCCGCTGCCCCTGATGGATGACTTGGAAATGGCTTTAGCTTACAGATTAGGTATATTCTTAGATAATAATGAGCAAGACATATACAACTCTGTCCCAGTCCAGCATTCTAAGACGGTCGGGCCAGACGTACCGACTCGGGTTCAGACCGCTCCCCTGGTCCCCCCGCCGTCTGATCACCAGTGTAACCTGCCACCCGTACCCCCCCGACCCCCAAAAGGTGACTCTGCTGCGGCATGTCTGGCCCGACCCCCGACACTCCATGAGGGTGGATCTTCCTCTAAATCTGCTCTCCAGGACGACTGGGGTGGAAATCCACCCCTGCCCCCCCGCACTCGGGCCCTCAGCGAGCAGCCCGTGAAGCACCACAGACCCCTCTCTTGTATCTCCATACCCTCCAGTAACCCTCCGAGTCGACTCGGCCGAGCGAATACCACAGACGACACCGTAAGTACCACTGGTCACGTACTCAGGAGACTGACTCACTGGATGAGAGCCGGGCAATCGGAGGCACTGGGGAAGTGTGTTTGCAATGAATGACTGAAGGGAGAAGATTCCTGCTGCTACACACCATGGAGCCATTTCCTGTTTTGCTTGATCAGTATGTGAATTTTACTTTTTGTCTTGCTTAGGGCAACTGGACCCTGAAACTGATTGACACAGCAGAGGAGGGTAATGACAGACTTTCTGCATTTCGTAGGTCGGTCTCTGGGTAAGGACCACATTTTCGGTCTGTGGAGTAAACTGCACAGCATTTTATAGATATACTATAAATGTTCTTAACTATGTCTTTCAATGCAAATTTTGACATGCCTAAGTAAACACATATATGATGCTTCAAATTTACGATGATGCATTACTAGTGTAACCATAGCGATATGCCGTACGATACTCTCTGCTGATACAGAGTGATGGCAGCGTCCACACAGCCACACTCCCGGTCTCTGTAGCGATCGCGAGCGTAAACATCTCATACTGATTTACAATGTATTGTACTGTTACTTATTTGTTTATCATATCATATTCATATTCAACAATATGTTCATCTGTTAAGTTGAGGAGCATCTGTATATAAAATATATCTGGGATCCTATCCTGGGGGGTATTCAGATGATTAAGGTCTGCATTCTAGCTGCACTACTGTCTAAGGGGGTCAAAGGGGCACGGATACCCCGGCAGATTCAGGGGGCCCAGCACTTTTCAGGGGCCCTACCCAGGGGTGCAGTAGGGGCACGGATACCCTGGCAGATTCAGGGAGCCCAGCACTTTACAGGGGGCCTAAATAAAGTATTTAATCAAATCCAGGGCAAGAGTTACAGGGGAAAAATGATAAAACTAACATAAAAATTGAGTTGGAAGATTTAAAAACACATTATCTAGTTTTATGTTATTTGATCATAAATCTGTCAAACAGTTGGATATTTGTTATGACAAATGGTTGAAAAATCATTAAATCACAACAAGAAATGACAATTTTAATATATCTAAAAAGATACGGTGATGTCATTTGCTCTACAAAAAAAACATATACAGTGGTACCTCGGTTCTCGAACTCACTAGAACTCGAATTTCTTGAAAGTTGAACAAACCAGTTTGACCTAGAACTCGATCTGAATATCAGAAGTCGAACCGTGAACGCTGACCTAATATAAATTGTACGCGCCAGGAAATGAGTCATACAACAATGCAATTCTTACTTGAATGCCTTCATCACAGGCTGGACGATTAACCAAATAAAGCAGCGCAACATTACAGTAACTAACAATAATAAACCACTAACTTACGTGTACTATAAGAGCATTTATGTAATTTATTTAAACTTTATTTTACCAGGTAAATTAACTGAAAACCAGTTATCACTGCTTTATGTGATATTCGGGAGAAATAGCAGATTACGCATCGGAACTGCCTGGGATACAAACGTCATGCGTGTAACTAAACTCTTCAGCCAATAAGGGCAAAGGTGTGTCGTCACGGAGGCGGTTCCAGTTTGTGCAGCCGAGTGAGAGGTCGCAATGCATCTAACCGTAATGCATTGCGTCAGGATCAGAATGCGTTGCTTTAAGCCAGCGCTGTAAGCAAGTCGAACGCACCCAATGACCGGACTGGGGAAACAAACTGAAACGCGGACTTAATACAGAGGACTAATGACAACAACCAGAAACAGCTGATCACATTGGGATTCCACACGAGGTTAACAAGGGGGCGTGGTACACGGAAAGAGCGGACGATCGGGGCAGGACAGGGGTAATGTTGGGATAAGATCTTTATCGTTTTGGAAGCCATTAAGAAAAAAATGCTGCTCTTGTTTTATCCTGTTCATTTTGTGTTTAAATGCTAAAGGAAAAAAAAAAACATATTTAGGTGTAATCTTGGGGGGCCGGGAACCAATTAATTGGTTTTACATTATTTCTTATGGGAAAATTTCGATCAGAACTCGAACTTTTTAGGAGTCGATCTGGAGTCCGGAATGGATTAAGTTCGAGAACCGAGGTACCACTGTACTGTATTTCATTGTAGCGTTTCTTTTTCAAAAAATTCTCAGGTTTGTAAGAATGACCCATATACTTTAAGTGTAGTAAGCCGTTCCTTGAATTAGATTCATGTGGTAAATCACAAAGTCCCTGTGCCACGTTTTGCTTGTAGCCAGAATCATTGAGGGTTCAATCCTTTTTTCTTATGCGATGAACTAATTTGACTTTTTGCGCAGACAAAAAAATGTGCAGAACTTTTCACTTGTAAAAAGCACTTTTGCACCTGCTGGTGGAATATGGCCCTAAGATTGTTGTATTTATTACAACTGTATTTGTCCCAGGTACAGTTCATGTTTTACTTCTCCTTTCCTATGTGGTTATGCCTGTCACTGTAACCCAGAAAAGGGTTTCATTCTGCACTCGGATTCACTCCAGTGAGACAAGGGCGGATGTTTCCTGATGTTCAGTGATGTGTTTAGCTGTGTTCTCTGCCCTTCCAGGCTGATGCAGTGCTACCCGTACAGTGACAGGACGTTCAACCCTGGGCTGGTGTGGGGTCGCATCTCACCTTTCCATCCCAGATTGCAGGAGGACGATATGGTCGACATCAGCATGACTGCTGCGTGGCTGCCACATCCGGTCCCGTTCACAGCCCCTCGTGAGTCACTGTGTTGTTGCAGCAGAGCTGCCATGGAGTAAATAATCTAAATTATTATGTCATGTTGAGTTTCTGTTTATATGTTGAGTTTTGGGCCAGGCAATGTCTGTCACCTCAGAACACCAGCGTTGGAGGTTCAAATCCTGCTCTGTCACTGTTTATATGAAGTCTGTATGCTCTTCCCATGTTCTTCCCATGCTCTTTCCATGCTCTTCCCATGCACTTTCCATGTTCTTCCTGGGACTCCTTTGGGTCACATGGTCTCCTCCCACAACCCAAACTCAGTTAGGGGCATTGGTGCGTCTGAGTTGCTCATATGTGTAAATGTGTGCCCTCTGATGAACATTCCATCCTGGCTGTTCCAGAGGCACCCCCTCTCCACCACCCCCCCCTTTACCTTTAGTCTGTATTGCATAACCAGGTGGCAGAACAGTGGATTTTGAGTATTGAATTGTTTTTGTGTCTTAGGGAGTTTCATGCCTTTGGAATGTAGCAGGAACGCGGGTCCCTGCATGTTGGTAAAGATGTCAGCCAGGTCTCCTCTGTCACAGTCAACAGGACGGTGCGGAACCTGATAGAGGTGCTCTGCTTCGTGCTGGAGGCCACTGATGCTGATGCAAGCCAGCACCTCCTCAAGTTCTGTGACTCTGAGGAGTTCCTCAAAAAGTGAGGAACATCACCTAAGCCTTTGACTGTGCATTTTGATCCTGGAAATCCAGCCCTGCTGTTCTGTAGATATAGTTTAGATATACAGTGACTGAATAGCTGAATCACAGTGCAGTAGTGAGACCTTATAACCTCCTTGGCAGCATTACCGTAGCAGTGTACGCCATCGTTAATCTGTGCAGCATGTTATTTCCCCTACAGTCCCTGTGTTTCATTAGTCCTGTCTTGCTTGCCCTGCGCTCTCTCCTCAGTGAGGAAATGCTAGGAATGCATGAGAGCATCCTGACGTGCCAGAGGTTACGCCTGCAGGTTTCACTCAGACTCCTGCATCAGGACCACGTGAAGGAGACTCTGGCCCGCGATGTGAGTGTCGTCACTGGCCGTTCTGTCGTGACAGCTGTGGAGATATTTTACGTCTTTTGCGTTTTGCAAATGCAAAATTGAGAAGGTAAAACAGCTTCTTCTCTAGCATGAAGACGACAGCTGCCCTTTTGACATCAAACACCTTTTGGGTTCTGCTTTTGTCTTCAATACATCTAGGTAAACATGCCTTTATATACGCTACTGTTTACCATATATATGATGTGGTGAAAAGTGATGAACAAGACATGATACACCTTTGTGTTTCCAAAGGAACATTTTGTTTGTATTTTAATAGGTAAATAGGTTTGTATTCCCAGTGTCAGTAAATATATTCTCCAGTGTTTCGCACATTAGATATTAGACAGAAGTACCATTCAAATAATATTATTGCTCTTGTATTGGCCTAAGAAACTCACAGATGAATCATAAGCCAGCAGGACCAGGGACTTCCTGACCCTGCTTTCTCGAAACAATGTATTTTGCTTTGGGAAAAAAATGTCAGATGAATAAATGAATAGAAAAGAATCTTCTCATTGAATCTGCTCCACACAGGACTGCTCTGGAGACCCACCTGAAGTACTACAGCAAAGAGATTCGGCAACTCATCCAAAGCCAGGTGTGATATTTTCATCGTGTCCTGCTGAATGATGGTTTTTTGGGGCTCCCTTAGGACTGACAGAACCAGTCACTACAACTTCGAAACCGAACTGGTACTGAATTTGAACCAATTTATATACCTTGCAGTATGGAAACAATGTGGTTCCAATAGCAGAAGAGGTCCAGACAATTAGCAGTTTGCTGTGTGGAGTTTCCACAAGAGAACTGGAAGATGCCATCGGTGAACTCCAGAGAACCAATCATCTGAGACTAGTAACACACTCCGTCTCTGACTTATATAGGGTGTTCCTCGAAGTGACTTAATGCCCTGTATAAAATCAGAAGCAATACGTTACCTGATATTATTTGTTCATGTAAACAACACATATGCCTCTTTGGCTCAATACATGAAAGTTGTTGACATATAGCCGTAAATAAAAGTCTTGTGCTGACACAATGTGTGTGTTCTTCCACCTATTTTTAGACTTGTGTGGAGTATGAGCGAGGTAAGCCTGCAGACTGACCGACACCTCATCGCTCGACGTGCGCCTCTGTTCCATGTGGTCCAACCGCCCTGCTTTCATGTCCTTCCTGTGCTGCCCTGTTCTCGGCTCTTTGGTAACACCAAGGAGTCATGGGAAACGGAAGATTAAGAACCGTAACGAGGGAGGCGGGGGAAAAAAATCACATAGGAATGAGGTTTAATATGCTGAGCACATCGACCAAAGTGGAACAGGTGTTGGTCGGTATTAGGTATTCCCATCAGTGACATATTGATCATTTCCAGACTAAAATCTATTCACGTAGGCTTATAGACCACATTGGAACAGAAATTCCCCTTAATGACATCAGATGGTGAAATCATTTAGGAATGATGGGTCTTTTGTCAGTCTTATGGAGAGGCGTCAGTTGGCTGGGGTTCAGGTGCAGTGCTCAGAGCGATTGCAATAGCTGCTTATCTCATTTTGGGCCCAGTGGTGCTACGGCTCGACCATGCCCTCAGCCGGCTGCTGCACACGTTCTTCAGCAACTTTGACTCTGATTACCGAAGTGAGCAGCCATTCCGCGGTCCTCAGCCCCTCAGCGCTGACGTGGCCAACAACGACGAAATCCTCCAGCTCGATCTGGCTGCCTTCTACAAGCTGGAGCCCAGCTGGATAGCAAGGTATGTGGGCAGTCTAGCTGGTCGTCTTGATTTTGAGCAGTTAGAAGAGTGTCATCCCTGCCTCAGTGAGACAGAACCTCTCCAGATGGGATTCCACTCTACTTGGAAACTATTTAAGATAGGGGTGTGCTATCTGACGATATGAGATCTGATTAAGGAACTGATTAAAATGTCTCTGCAATCAGTCTTTACGGAGAGATTGTTAGTATTGTTCTATAGTGCAGATTCTGTCAGTTGCGGTTCTGCGGATCATGCACGCACTAAAGTTGTTTTGTCAGCCAAATCGACACGCCAGCAAAAAGGAAACCATCAGTAGCGCCTTGGATTTCTTCCTCGCTACCTTTTATTCACTCGTCCCAACATGCAACACATTCCACAACACAACGTAGCTGCATGGACGTCGTGGAGGAGTCAGTTTCTAAAAAGAATTCCACATTGGTAATATGGAACTTGGTTGGATTTTCCAAAACTGATACAGCGCAAAAACTGTTATTTGCACAGATAAGTTTCACGTGTCAGACAGCAGCATGACAAACACTTTACTGAAAGAGTATGCTGACAGTCAGTGTGAATGCATCAGCTGCTACAAACATGCGGTAATTTGCAAAATAGTCTTAAAAACGGACATGACAAAGAATCGTGATTAGATTGTGGAGTGTGATCCTAACTGAAAAAGAATTGTGATATTATATTTTTGTCATGTCGCCTACCCTTAATTTAAGGTTAGGTAGTACAATAGCTGCATACACAAAACCAGGGGCTACATTTGACCCTTGAACTCTACAGCTGTGAGGCGAAAACGCTATCCAGGATAGCTACCATACCTCCACGGCAACAGTGACAGTGCAGAACTGTAAAGACAGCAGTGTGTGCAGACATTCTACTGTGTGAATATCGCCATTAAAGAAGCCAAGTGATTAAAGAGAGCCTGACACGTTTAATTTATCACAATAAAGCCGAAATCATAGAAAGGTGTACCATCTGTCGCAAGTCTGAGCTGCGGATTTCATAAATCATGAATAAATAAACAGGTCCAGTCTGCGTTTAAAGTTGGCTTTTCTCTCTTTGCCTTGACCTCCTTCTCTGAAAGAGAGTAATGCACTTTAAAACCCTTTTTAACCATTCTTTTGTTCTGTCTGCGTACAGATTCTTTTGAAATATTCACATGAAATATTTATACGAATCGCTTTGTCTCCCCTCTCGTGATAAGCATTAAGCATCAGCTTCCTCTAAAGCCATCCTTCATTTGTCCCTTTGGTCACATGCAGTCTTGATTACTTCTGCATCTCATGTGCCCTGACCTACGGCTCGAAGCAGCTGTGTGAGGCTGCGCTCTCAGAAAACATCAGCACAATCCTGTCTCTGGGAAACAAGCTACAGTGCAGCAGGAAGTAAGATCCACTCTGCTGCTTGTGAACGATGGCTCTCGAAGGCTGGATCATTGCTTGACCTTGACGTTGACTCCTGACAGCTTTGTATTTCTCCTGTCCTGAACCTCAGGATGAGCTTCCCAATTCAGATCAACAGCCTGCCTTATGAGTCCATGCTGACCTTCCGTCTGCTGGGCTCGAAGCAGGGGAAGACCCCGGAGCTGTTGCGATGGGCTGTCCTGCCCCTCTTTGCTGACAAGTAGGTGGCATTTGCTCTGTATGTGTAGGGGGCTGCTGATGTCGAGTCAGTGATGCTGAACGCGGTGGCTCATCACCATGGCATGGCAGTAACACGTTGTGTCATAACATATCTATTTTCGTGGCATTTTTGGTACTGACTCTGCTCTTCCTGCTAACGATGATGGCTAAGTTTAAGTTTAGGTTTATTATGGCCTGTGTGGATGGTAATGGACGGACCATGGACGTTAATGATGACTTGCTGTCTTTCTCAGCAAACTTGTCAGTGGCACAGTTCTGCTGAGCATGTCTGCACTCGAAGAACTGACTGAACCACCAACACCTGGAGTGTCAGACAGCCACAGGCAAGCCACAGGAGTCATTCTACAGGTGAGCAATTAATGTTGCTGCCCCCTGGTGGCACACCTTGGATATTGCACATACACCTCCCTCCTATCAGCTAGTGTATGTAGTGCCTACAGTGTTCTGGCATGAAATTTCATTGTTCATCTTATCAGCCCCACCCCCACCCCCCAAGATTGCATAAGCCGGTCTCACAATTATGTTTTCCGTGTACCTTGTACTTAAGCCAAATCAGCACTGCAATCCCGGATAAAGCGGGACTGTTTATTTATCTGTCTTCCACTTGCCAGGTGGAGTTCCCAGATACACACAGATGGGTGTATAAGAGACCAAAGTCACTCGCCTGCTCCTTGTTTATCACCCCTCCATTTGAGGAGCTACACAAGAAGATTGTGAACGTGTCCCAGAAGCACAGCGTGTCCTTGTGAGTCATCCTCGCTCCCGGGCGGGCTAACACAAGATGACTTGCCCATTTTGGCCGTCCGGTGTGTTGCACAAGCATCCCTACCTGAAATCTCATCCTCAAATTTGTGTCCCAGCTTGACAGACAATGAGAAGGCCTTCCTTTGGAGTAAACGGCACTCGTGCAACAAAGACAACACCTACCTGCACCTCCTCCTCTCCGGCGCCCCACAGTGGACACCAGAAGACCTGTCGGAGATCTACGGCATTCTGGAACACTGGCCACTGCGTAACCCGGAGGAGGCCCTTCTCCTACTCAGTGATTGGTGGGATTTCATGGCGTTTGCCTGCAGGAATTTGTAGAGTTTTTGATATGAAATAAAGCACAACCACTATGAAGTGGTCAGCTTCTGCCAGTGCCACTGTCATATGCGATGTTGTCATGCTGTATGTCCAGCTTCCAGGACCAAAATGTGCGCAGGGTGGCAGTCCAGCGTCTGGAGCAGCTCTCAGATGTGGAGCTGGAGGGCTGTCTCCCTCAGCTGGTCCAGGTGAGGGCTCTGGCTCTACGGCCTGGAGACCTCCATGTTTGTTACTTGGCACCAACAGCAGGAGTGGGCTAAACTACCCCCCCCTCCCCGAAACATCCACAGGCTCTGAAGCTGGAATGGAACCTGAATGGGCCCCTGATTCTCCTCCTGCTCTCCCGATCCCTGCAGAGTGTCCGCATGGCTCATCAGCTCTACTGGTGAGTGCAGGATCGGCATCTCATCAGGATCAGGTGTGACAGGGTTAAAGGTCATGGTGAACATTAATGTATCATAGCTTGGCAAAATCCCCCAAAGGCAGAATTTCTCTCAAAGTTAGGAAGCATTCTGTGAAGGCCACCTAAGAGGGAGTGGGTACTGCCGCAATCGATGCTGTAATGGCTGGCGGCGCCTCTGTACTCCACAGGCTACTGGAAGACGCCCGGGAGACGAATAAGCACTATCAGAGCTGGTATAGCAAGGTACAAGCCGGACTCAGGTACTGCTGCGGGCGGCAACTGCGGCAGGAACTGGAGAATGAGCACCAGCTGGTCAAGCTGCTCATGGCAGCGGCGGAGCGGATCCGCATGGCGGACAAGGCCAAGAGGAAGGTCAGAGTTTGTACGAGAGACCAGTTGGAACCTTCATCATGTTGTGTATGCCTCTTGCTCCTGTCACAGCTGGCACTTGTGGAATGTGGTATACAGCATTTGCAAATCCTGTTTCTGGTCCTACAGGATATCTTAAAACATGAAAGAATCAAAATGAGTGACTTCTTCAAGGGAGGGGTAATGTGTCGCCTGCCACTTGACCCTGCCCTCCTTGTGCGGGGTGTGGACATAGAGGTAGATCCCACCGCACTGGTGTCCCTTATGTGGCCAAGCCTGGTTATGTTATGCACATCTCTCAAGCTCTTCATTATCTCTTTTAGGCCTGCAAATTTTACAACTCCAATGCAGCTCCTCTGGGAGTAGCCTTTATCAACGCGGACAGTCTGGGCAGAAACATTTCCATCATCTGTAAGGTAACTGTTGGACATAAGATTGAGGATCGATGACTAGGTCATATGGCTTTTACACTTTCAGAAAGTTTGTTCTTCAGTCAATGATTTTATCCAAGGTGATTTTAACACTGGAGGCTAAGCTAAGGGTACAAACACAGGCCTCTGTTTTTAATACCAGAGGCTAAGCTAAGGGTACAAACACAGCCCTCTGTTTTTACCACTGGAGGCTAAGCTAAGGGTACCAACACAGGCCTCTGTTCTTAACACCCAATGCTAAGCTAAGGGTACAAACACAGGCCTCTGTTTTTAATACCAGAGGCTAAGCTAAGGGTACAAACACAGGCCTCTGTTTTTAATACCAGAGGCTAAGCTAAGGGTACAAACACAGCCCTCTGTTTTTACCA